TAATTAATAAATGTGATGGCCAGAAACATTTCAGCCAAATATTAACACTATTATACCTTTACAATGTATCAAAAAAGCTGCATGAAAAGCTTAATTGCATGCTCAAAAGAGTGTTACCAGAAGTTAAGATGAGCATAAATTCAATCAGACTCTCTCTATGTCACGTTCATTTACAATTCTCTTTCTAATCAGCCGACTGTTGAGTGTTTACTGTAATCCAATCGGATTTTGCTGTGATCTTCAGTCATATCATTGTAGTCAAACTTGAAATCTGTTCTGTTATTTTAGTGATTTGCTGCAACCATCCTTCTCCCCAGTCACCTCCAGTCTCCATATCCAGTGTCCACTCATCACATTCAGCATCCTCATCCTCTGGATCTCTTCCTAAACCGCACGCTGCCTCTTTGATGACATCTGAAAGGGTCATTTATATCACACACTTTCATCTCTTATTGTAAATGGCAATAGATTTGGTACATTTTCAACAGTACTGTGGGAGACTGGAATAAATAAATCTGATGATATGTAACCACAGGTATAACCACTTCAATAACCTGCTTGTTCTGGTTTGGTTAACCTGCATGTTCTGGTTTGGTTTTTCCCAATTCCTCGAGGAAATTTCCGACTCTTTGGTATCTATTATTTTTCATGAGCAACTTGCAATATTGGTCTGCTGTGCTGTTGCTAGAAACAAGATTTAAAAGAGCAGCAAGAGTGAACTTTGCAGAAACCAGACACTATGGCACTTAATAGAGCTGGGAGGAAGGTGATAACTCTCTCATCATCTCTATGAGAGACACTTTTCATGTTTCTAGCAGTTACTTATGAGAGCAGCTTTAAAGTGCTCTGATAACTGATCAGATTGACTGCGGTGCCATTTTATTCAAATGTATTCATTCAGCCTGCGGAAAGGGGGTTGTTTTGATTTGTTTTGTAAACAATGTGATGATGCAATTTTCTGTTGACATAAGCTACAGGAGCATTTGTGTACTTGGACAATCTCTTCAATGCATCTGACCATTTCATTATTGATTCTTTTAGAGAGGGTAGCCTACCTACAGTCAAAACTAGCTATGTATCATGTTGATTCTGATCCCTCCTACACACTTTGTTTGGAAATCTATTTAAGTGTGAGCTGAGATTAAGTGGTGTGGGATGGATAATTTGGGATAATTATTTTTTTAAAAAGTGGGTCGCAGAGTTTCCATGTTATGTCAATTAGTGACTTTAAATTGACCATAGGTGTGAATGTGACAGTGAATGGTTGTTTGTCTCTGTGTGTTGGCTCTTCGATATGCTAGCGCCTGTCTGGAGTGTACCCTGCCTCTCACCCAATGTCAGCTGGGATTGGTTTCGGCCGCCCTGCACTCCTCAGAAGATAAGCGGTGTAGATAAGGATGGATGGATGACTTTGATATAAGCTAACAGCTGAAACAAAAGACACATGGAAGCCAAAAGGCATGGCTTTATCATCGGTGACATCAATGTGCTGACAGCAACAAAAATTGTCACCAAGATTTGTCAGAATAACATTTTGCATTTAAAATAATGTAAGGTCACTCTTACCTTGACCTTTGATTACTGAAATCAAATCACTTGAAGGTACAGTGTGTAGAATTTTGTGATATCTAGTGTTGAAATTGCATGTTGCAACTGAACACCCCTCACCTCACCCTCTCCTTCCAAACATGAAAAATAAACTGCGGTAGCTCCAGATGTCGTAAAATCTCAAAAGGTGTTTAGTTTGTCCAGTCTGGACGAATGTAAAAAACATGGCAGCCTCCGTAGAGTGGGTCCCCTTGATGTAAATATAAAGTATTTAAATATAAAGGGTATTTTCTGGGGTAAAGAAAACTACAATTCATACAATTTAGATGAAACAAACTAGTGAAAACATCATGAGGATTACTCTACATTAAACTGCTGCCAATAGATCCCTTTCACCTAAATCTTACACACTGGACCTTTAATGTGAAAGTCCAAGAAACAACGGCTCAATATTTAAAGAAATTCCCTGAAGGCAGATTTCAGATATCATGTTCAAGAGGCTAGAAACATGTTCTATGAAGCCACCATGACCTTGATCTTTGACCACCCAAATCTAATCAGTTAATCTGTGAGTCTAAGTGAACATATATGGCAAATTTGAAATGATCCTTACAAAGCGTTCTTAGAATAACATGTTCACAAGGCAATACAAGGGTTTTGTCACTTAACCTTTGACCACAAAAAAATAATCGTTATTTGTCGAGTTTAACTGAACATTTCTATCAAAGCTGAAAACAATTCCCTCGAAGTGTTTTGAGGTACATTTACAACAATGCAACAGACATTTGAGTGATGCATTAATCAATACATTTGTGACTTGCTAAGTATATAAATGAACAACACATCCTCAGTTTGTTCATTGTGAATGGAATCTGACTGCAAGGTTGCAGTGTAGTTGTGCATAAAGTTTTAGGAGACAGAGTTGAGCATGAACACCAAGGCAATTAGTATTCAGCAAAATGAATAAGTACCTTCATTTAAAAAAATGAGCAAAACTTTAAATTGGTACAAATATCATTGCTTTCTCTTTAATTAAAGGGGAGTGTTTGCATTCTTAGCAGAAGGACTGCAGATTAATGAAGGTTGTGTTAAAGGTTAGCAACCATAAACAAATGCCTGCATAGAAGCTCTTTGTCTGTTATGTCAAATAGCTTGACCACAATTACCACAGTGGTGACAGCAACTTCACACGCATGAATTTTAATCTTTCAATCAGACAGCAAATATTACACCATGCTCCCTTGTATGCAATTATAAGCCAGTGTGGGTTGAACAGCGGCAAACATTCAGGCTGTAATGTCGAGAAAGGAACACAGATAGAAATAATGGCTCTGTGATGTAGACCCCAGCACCATTAGAAAACTGCAGTAATTCCCAGTAGCATCTGCAGGCCCAGCTGTACGCACAGACCACTGAGATCTTCAACTCTTTATCAATATGACTACAAAATGTGTGTGTGTGTGTGTGTGGAGAAGTTTTCAGCGAGGCAGTAATGAATGTCTCTCTGGTGGATCAGCGTGTAAACACTGGAGGAGAGTGAACTCTGGCAACAGCCATTCCCATTTGGCTCAATTAGACCTGAAACTGAGACAATCAATGGTGCTGGCCTTTCTGCCAGTCCCGCCTGTTGGCGGCAGCGCCACACTCAGTAAAACAAAATGGGAATAATCAAAGTCCATAATTAGTTGGCCTGAGAGGGAGCAGGAGTACGTTTTCACTCTGCTATAAGCAGGCAACAGCGCAGTGAGCATAGCGGCGCTGGCAGCACACGGAGATGAATGCACACAGCCTTGAGGAAAAGGGACAAGACAAAACACAGTGTGAGCTCCGTGCAATATAGTTAGGCCACTGTTAGACTGAGAGAAGCTCTACGCTACACACAAACAGTGGCCCAAAACCCCATGCTTGGCGACAAATGAAACACCAAGGGAGATGTCGGAATATGATGAAAAAGTAACAGTGGTGAAATTCTTTTTTTTTTGATCAGGAGGATCACTCAAATGGGCGTAGGGGCCTACAGAACACTCTGGGAAGGAAGAAGAGACAGAAAGCAAGAAAGGGAGTCGGGATAAAGATCAAATGGAAAGAAATGTGTATCTTTTTATATTTATATATAGCAAGGCCGTCCCTTTAATGTTGCGGCCGTCTGGGGATTAGACAGCTAACTTGGGAGGGACTGTGGGGGGAATGTTGGGGAAATGCCCAGATTCTTAGGGAGCATATCGGAGACATCTGGACAAGCACGTGAGACCATTGGATGATAACGGTACTATACTACTACACATGTTGTAACAGCTCTATAAGCTAATGACTGCTGTAAAATTATTTGCTGTGAATTGACTTGTATTCAGTCCATGTGGACTGTCTCGTAGCGCCTTCCTTACCTCCAATACTATGAGCGATTTTTTTATTTTATTTTTGTTTCCGGGAGAAACTAATTTTACCGAGAGAAAATCTGAGGATAAAGATGTTCCACTGTCGTCCCACATTACTAAATTGCTGCTACTAAATTCAGTATGCACCTCAGTGATTACCACTGAGCACCTAAGGAGGAGATTAAATCTAAAAACAGATATCAAAATGAATCCTGCATATAACCACTTCATCAGACCCAACTCTTTCTTTTTCAACTTCCTGATTTGACTCTGATTATAAAGTTTTGGCAGGTTTAAAGTAAATCAATCAAAAGCCGAAGGTTGCAGCCTCCCTGTCAGCAAATGTTAAAAACCTTTTAATTTTGTATGAATGTTATCAACTCAAGTTTCCGAAGTTATTCTCATCTGAATCTCTGCCTTGCCATAACATCATATTTTTGAAATGTGTCCTCATTCAGATTGGAGTTGAACTTCCTGTAAATCAGTAAAATACCTGCTGGGCACACAGGAGCAGACTGTAGCATACCAGGAATAAAACAATGGCCATTGGACTGTGTTGCTTCAGTGGTAATGACGAGAGGGGGAAGGTGACGCTGGCCTGGGTCATGCTGCCCCTGGTATTCTCACAGAAGGTGGCCAGTCTAATGATGAGGAAGACTGGCTCTGTGTAAATGGCGGCCAAGTTGAAGTTGACTATGGGTGTGTGTGCGTGTGTGTGTGTGTGTACTATAGGGGTGTATTAGATGCTTTGGTATCTGGCCCCAGATCACAAAGACACATTAGCAGAAAATGTCCATCCAATCCATGCACTCCCACATATTCACACAGTGGCAAACGGGCAAAAGTGCAAACACTATATACACTTACACGTCATAAGTACATTTTATTTATACAACCTTGACATATTATTGTGTATGCATTGCATACTAGACTTACAGATACATTTAGATGCTGTGTTTTGTTCAGAATAATTTAACAGCATATCATTAACAATATACCAAACTTTAAAAAGACGTTCAGCAAACCTAAAACCTCATGGATTCTGCTCATCAGAAGCTCAAGGTGACTTACTGGCAGAACATTTGCGAAATGAGAACAAACTCTGAATTAGAGATACCTTGTAGACAGAAATTGGGTTAAAATTGTGTTTCTCCACAAGAGGACTGGGTAACAAATTGGAAACATTTTCACATTTCTCATTCATTAGTTTGTGTCAAACAGTGTTAAGCAGCTGTGGGTAAGGTCAGTTTTAATGATTTGTCGTGGTTAAAGTTAAAAGAACAGAGTCTGCAGCCGTGCTAGCAGCTCAGTTAGGCTCTGCTTAGGCAAGTCAGTACTAAATGCTAATAATGTCAGCATTAAAACATGTTCACAGGACAATGTTCATGATTGATGTTATGATGTTTAGAGGGTAGGCCTATACGGCTTAATATGTTCACTACATGTTTTTAGCTATTTAGCATTATTACAGTATTTTAGCGAACAAAACACAATATAAAGATATGGCTAAATGGCCGTCGTCAATTTATCAACAAACTGAATTTTGGAGTGGATGATGGCTTTGATTCAATCTCTGGGGTTAATAAGTGACTAACATTTTACTCAAGGCTACAGATCTCAAACTATGGTGGTGCTATAGGAAAATTCAGGTTATAACATCTATATCTTCTACCTGCCAGGAGGCAAAAGTGAACAAATTTCATGCAAACTAGCCAACAGTTGAAAGTAAAGCAAAGTAAAAGCAAAGCAGCTTTGATAACAATGGTACGATAGATTTACATAAGCTCGAACAAACATTTTATCAGAAGTGTCATAACCATTGAAGCTGCGAGGGCACATATCCCACCAGATTTTGGATATCTGGATTTATACTGAGGCTCATGGTGATGATGGAGTTTTGAATGAGGTTGAGCAGTAGAAAATAGGTGACTACAGTTTTTACAGGTAGAGGAGCAGAGGCACTGCTTGAGATGTCAGCACAGTCTCATCTGTACTCTAACTCCCAGGCCACATCGTCTGTGGAACGGCAAAACAGCTTGAACGGCTGCAAATCGGCCGCGGAACAGCTTGCTTTACATTTCTGGGCCTATGTTAGATGAGAGCTGCCACACCGGATGCGGTTCAGCAGCCTTTTCACCAGTGCTGCTCTTCTAGAGATTCATGGTCTCGCCGATGTTTTCCGTGTTCAGCATGCGGTTCACAGCAGAATATACAGAGAAAAGGATCTTTCAGCACAGTTTCAATGTTTATCTGTAGAATACGTCACAAACAGAGGTTTGCAGCATTTTCTGGAGGCTACCTTTTTCAAAATAAAAGCACCCAAGCATTTCTGTTGACTGAATCCATTCGTTTGTTTTTAGAAATGCAGTGTGCTTGAAAATACAGCTGTTACCACATTGGCAGTGTCCTTTTTACCTGGAGATTTCTATCTACAGTCCGTAAGTTTATTTGGAGTTTTTGTGTGTGTGTGTGTGTGTGTGTGTGTGTGTGCGTGTGTGTGTGTGTGGTCTTTGTTGTGAAGTTATAGCCCTCAATTTCAGTACAAATTGACTAAATCTAAATAAATATACATTCTAACATAAATGTATTTATCCTGACAACCCTGAGATTACTGAGCTGCAAAAAGGGATTGAGTTAGTTTTTGAAATAATGCAAACCTGTCTTTAAATATATGTCAAATTTCATAAAATTGCATCATTATTTATCTTTGTTTTTTCTGCAGATGGGCCCCCATGCCGCCTGCTCTAAATGTGACACCCTGAGAAGTTTAGCCTGCATGACGCTCCTAACTTTAATCATCAGTTTCCAGCTGTGATACAACTTTTCTGTTTGTGCTAAGAGCTCAATTCTGCAACAACAACAATAGGTTGAAGGGGAAAAGGTCAGTCTGCAGCTTCAAATAGAGTAGACCTGTTCATACTGGGTCATATAAATATCATTGTCTGCTTCTTTGCAAGTCTGACTGGAATACAAGACCCACACAATTATACCTGTATCCTCAAAGTGAACTGTAACATGACCCTATGGTGATATCTCTTGACATTATTAATATTAAATACTTGACTGTGTACCTGACAATATTATGTGTCTTCGGTGAGCAGATAACAAGTAGACAGTTCTATGAAAGTAAATTCAAACCTGCATCTCCACGTGTCTTGAGTGACCACTTGTGCTCTCACTTTACCGCTCTGCATGCAAATAAACATGTGATGTGTCATTGCAGTCTGCAAACAACAAATGTGTATGAGGTGCTAAACAAATCAATTCACTGCACTCAGCTCTATAAGGACATAACAATTCACTCATGTGAAATTGTAAATCTCAAATAAATCAATGTATGTGAAACATTGAGAGGCGTAAGAAAATTATATTTATTATGAAACTAGAGCAGGTCAGTGGATGTCAGATGAATAATAAGTCAATGTGGTCAGGATGAATCTGCAGTCCCATTGCTAAAAAAAAATAAAAAATGGTCTATATAATTGGATCTCAAATGCATCCTCAATTTGTCCTGGATACTTTCACTTCTGTGCCCTGAGACGGATGTTAATACCAGATCTGAACGTGGCCACTGAGTAGAGCTGAAAGATGTGAGTTGAAATGTGTCGCATTTTAAGTCAATCAGAAGCATAATTTATCCCCTAGCCTTCATCTTTGGAGGAAGTGCATTTATTCAAAAAGTTTCTGAAAGAAAGAACTCCTTCCCGACAGACTAGCAGGAAATAACAAGGCTCTTTTAGGACAGGATCCCAGGTGTAAGGTAGACCCCTTTATCCCACTTTACTGTCCACTGAGCCTGTTAGCAGGTGTATTAAGCTTCCTTCATGCAGCAATGCTGCTTTTACTCCCTCTCCGAGGCCACAGTGTGGCTCTCTATGGCAATGATCTGAGACTGCTGACTTTAAGTTGACTTGTTGTTTTCTTTGCCCAAGTGAGTGTACCGTCTGCATAAATCACTTAATGCACAAACATAATTAAGTACATATTTTATATTTATGCACTGGGATCGCTCCCTGTTTGTTTTCCATTTGGGCATTGGAGAGCACAAACACAGGCAGCCCAAATGGAAAAGGCACGAACACGTCGACACATGTGTGTAGTGAGCTGTATTACAAAGGTGCTGGAAAGGATAGATGCGCTGAAGTCAAAGTGGACCAGTCTTGCATCCCAAGCATGGATGTGTGGGGATAAAAGACCCACTGAATGCAGAGCAGCGAGCAATAAGGAGCTGCACCACATGAATAGAAATGGAGAGTGCTCCGTGGCACAATCACAAAGAGGCCTCTGTGTGCACGCAGCTGTCATTTCAGCGGGATGTTGGAAAAAAACCCCAATAATGTGATATAATGTTGAAACACAGAACTACTTTCTGACAGTTCCAGACACTATTAAGCAGAGAAAAAAACAAATACAACACAATGTAAAATTAGCCTTGACCTGGGTTTTTATGAGCCGGCCAGACAGATAAGGGATGTTGTTTTCCATGCATCAAGTTTCCTTGTCTTTGCCCATTGGCATGAATAATGAAGGATATTCACCTTGTTTATCTTTCAATTCAATATTTACTCCTTGTCAGATGCATTTGGGGGCTTTTCATCATCACTGCTCTCCAAGCGCAACGTTTTCCTCTATGGTATTTGTCCTCACTGTTAATGTTTGATGAACAGCACAATAAAGGCCTTAAGGGGGGTTTCTACCTGTGCCACACTTGTTTTTGATTTCATCCTCTACTGATGTTTATAGCATCTTCTCCAACAGCACGCTTCCTCCTCAGGGACTCCCTCCTTTTCCGGGACTACCTTTTTCTTTCCCTCAAGGTAAATTTGGGCTAGATTGAATTAGGCAAGGGAAAGTAGGTCACTGGCTTTGATCAGTCAGTTGCATTGTTAGTGTGAAGGTTTAACCTGATGCTGGTATATTCCCACCTGCAGCCTCAGCTAGCCAGACACTTTCACTCTTCCTCCTCTTCCTGTTTATTTCCTCCTCCTTACTTTGCTATGTAAAATGTTTTTTCCACAATGTATTTTACTGTCTTGCACACACACACTGGCAGAGAGTTAAACACATATTGTTAGAGCGTTACGTACTTTCCTCCTGAAGCTGGTTTTCTTTATTTCCTTTGCAGTTTTCCACTGTTTCTGTTTTCTTATCATATCTTGATTATGCTGTCCAGTTTAATTTTGTTTCTATTATATCTTGATGTTTTCTTCATATACAAATGATTTTTCAAATATTTCAGCACACGTATTTCAGAAAATAAAAGAAAATTGCATTCCCACCTGTAGTAGAGGTTCATTTACAATATCCTGCATTTTAAGCAAGAACTGTAAACTCGATTAAGAGTTGTTGTCTTATGTGCAGAATTACAATGAACTTTTATCACTAGTCAAAAATAAAACATCTGTATATCTCAAGGTAGTTTTAACTTCTCCTCTCCTTCTAAAGCTTAAGCAAGAATGATCAATCTGTTTTTTGAGTAACACACGACCAGGCCAACCCAATGCAACGTAAGTTACTAATGTAGCTTATTAAAACTCACCAGTAAATCCAAATCAAGTCTTGGGCCTGGTTATGGTGCAAATCCCTGGATCATCTGGCAGCATCTGCAGGAGTGGCTAGACCCTTTGGACAGAATGGTACAGTGTTGACGTCAGCCAGAGGCACATACATGGCCACAGAATCCAAGATCATCTGGGACGTCAGAGAGGATGGTGATCAGGCTGCCGGGGCAGAAAGGGAATATGGTGAGTTGATAATCAGGTGAAGGGAAGCGTCATTATCACCATCAGACATGACGTTTTGGATGGGGCAGATTTTAAACAAGAGACCACTGGTGATGTTAAGGCGAGTGTGTGTGTCTAGGAATGGGTCAGCTCCCAAATGTAATGTCACACGAGAACAGATCCACCGAAACAGTCTTTATTATGACTTAAAACTTAGGTGACCAGATAGGGATTTGGGAAGGCAGTGGTGTTAAAAAAAAACTGACGCAAAGTTCAGAAACTTACAGGGAAATAAACACAGGAGGAAGAAACTCTGGTTAAACTGCTGGTACAGAGGAAAGTGAAATACAACACACATAGAGACAAAATCCACAAAGTTTACATGGCACAGGTAAAACTAATAAAAGCGGTGCAAGTAATCAACAAAGAGGGGAAACCAGAAAAAGACAGGAAGTAAAGTAAGACAAACACAAAGTAATGAAGTTTCAAAATAAATGTAAAATAATTCATTAAAAGTGCAAATATATGAATCATAAGTCCCCAAAAAACATATCAAAAGTCCAACACAGGGGAGGAATCATGATAGAGTGTGTGTGAGGAAGGTGTAGTGGTGGCATATATGGGGAAGCAGCTACAGAATCAGACCAATCAAACAGCTTATGCTTTCTGCTTAACCGTGATATGTGGTCCACTCACATACATCCATGACTAGTTTACAGTCCATGTGTAACTTATGAAAATAACACGAAACATGAAGACAGCAAGATAGTTATCCAGCTGTAGGTAGAAGAAAAACATTACAAAAGACCTTGACCTTTGAAAAGGCCAAACAAAACAATAATTAGAGTCATTAAAAGAAAAGAATTATATAATCAACTTTTTCTCATGTAAACCAAATGCTGCTGGGTTGAACAGTGGATATGAATGGGTGGTCCTGGGCCTGAGGGCGTTAACCGTTTCTTTGTGACATCACAAAATTACACACATTATATTGCTAATAAAGCAATAAATAAAGCCCATTTTCAGTATGTATTTCTCTGTGGATCCAATGTTTGTGACTCTCACAGTATTATTATATAGCACCTCAATGTGTGTGTATGTATATATATACCTCATTAGATCTGTAACACTGATGCAACTAGTGCTATGATTACACAATATAATGAATGGAGAGCACATGTAGCGAATGTATGCAAATGAGGTGTGAAATGTGACCATTCAGTTTAGCATTTTAGCATAACAAGATATTTGTAGTAGCTAGCACAGGTGTGACTAATGCAAATGTTCTCTATTAGTGAACTTTATTCATTGCTATGGGAAACCAAACATTGATCTGATAATGGCACTCCATCAAATGCTGGACATATCCTGGCAGCACCACTCCAAAGGTCAAGGGATCAATCCTCTTGGGAGCATAAATATACAAGACTTAATAGATTTCATCCAGAGTTCAATAAGATATTTCAGCCTTGGCTGTGCTGGACTGAATGACTGATCTGACTGTTAACAATAAAAATTCAAAGCATGTATGAATCTTTCTAGTCTGTCCTTTCTTAAACTGTACTCTGTTAATGTTCTAATGGTTTTATTCAAATCTCTTATTCACTTCCTTTGTCTACATTTTATTTAAGTATAAAATGTTGGCGTTTGTCTTATGACTCAACATAAGCAAAACCAAATGATTGTTATTTCTGACCATCAACCCTTTTACACGCATAAGAGCACTTCACTTCCTTTTGTCGTCAGCACAGTCATGAAGAGCAGGACAGGCAAGAAGCCACTCCACTGACATGTTGCGCACAATTAGCCAGCCGCAGAGGGGCCGTATGGCTGTCATGTCTCTTGTTGTGCCGAGGTGAAGACAAGGCTGAAGGCAGAGTGCCCAGTTAACAAAGGTGTACACACACACACACACACACACACACACACA